ATAGCATGGATTTGCGTCTTATAAATTTTATCAAAAACGCCTTAGAAGCATTCCATAAAGTAATTTATTTTTATAAATTGTATTCATCCGAACAGTTTTTTTTTAGTACAGCCAACATTTTTAATCTTAAAATAACGTCACTTTTTAAATTAAAATTTATGTTATTGAAGTACTAAAAAAATAAAACGATTAAACGACTCAATGACGAGAACATTGAAAGCTACTATTATAGGTAGTTCAGTATGGCTAGTTCATCAATTTTCAAGTTCTCGATGTTAGTAGCTGATATCGTATCGATGGAATAATGTCCCTGATTCTGAGTAGATCCTAATTTGCCATATTAGCCTATTTGCTGTAGATAAATTTTAAGGGTTATAATATATCATTCGTGCACAGCGTGTTTACCTGTGCCAATACTATATAGGTAAGTAAGGTAAACAGTCGATGAGCAAACGATGCTTTACCCAAAAAACTGTATACAATGCGCAACTGTCTTAAAAAATGGTCAAAACTAACATTAGTGATGTTCAAACGACAACAGGCAATTTTAATTTTAATTCTAAGTGTTAGTAAAGTACAAACTATAATGTTGGTGGAATATTTTTGTTTGGAACAATATTTTATTGCATGTATGGAAATAACTAATTTAAATACGACAAACGTCATTGATGTGTTCAGGTTTATGTTTTGAATAAAAAAAAAGTAAAACAATAAAAGTTTACAAAAAATTATTTTTGATAACTTGAAAGATAATTTAATATCCTAAAATATGTTATACTATAAATTGAATAAATCTTGGATGTAAATATAAACGAAAAAACTAAAAAGTAATAAATATACGACAAATTCGTCATGAAACTGAAATACAAAAATATTTTTGTCTTAATAAACTATAACTTCAGATGTACTTGAAAACATATCCCTACTGTTTGAAAAGTATGTAACGCTTTATGAAATCTAAAATAAATAATTATTATAATCAATGTCACGTCTTTAGGGATTAATGTTTTTTTCTTGCGTATAACAAAATTGGTAATTGAAATTAAGTTTACTCAAAACATATTTGTCATAACACACTGTGAGTTCATTAGTGTAGTAACTAAAATCGTAAGGTTTCGATAAAGATTTGATAATAGAATTTTGAATTTTTTTACTATCTTAAGTCGCTGATAAAATTATGAATACAAAAGTATTTTATGATTGAATGATTGAAATTTTGGTACATATTATATTATTAAGAGTGCTTAAAACAAATCTATTATGTATAAATATCATCTGTTCAACACGTTTTTCATCAATTAAATACATTTTAATTACAGCAGTATTGCATTTTAATATTTACTTAGAAATATCTTATAGAATGTGAAATTTATATTAGTAGAGTAACTAAAAACAAAAAATAAGTTGTATTTTTAATGTAGTCCTTTTCATAAATATTTTAATACTAAAAAACATTTATAAATAATTTATTATAACGTTTACATGTATGATATACTCATTATACCTTAGTGAAATTAGTAATAAAATTAAAATTAAAAACCTTTTATAACCCTTCGATACAATAAACTACCTATGTCATAATTGTGTTATTTTGAGATGATACACTAATTTAACTGTAATTTTAAACATACGATTGTGCAATACAGTATTAACTCAAAATAATACACTAATGCATAATGCGCATTTATTAATTTCCTTAATGTTATACTGCAGTTGTGGTCGAAATTCAATTTTTCCAGTAAGACATAATAATACACTAGTGCAGGGGTTGACAACCTTTTTGACGTCCGGAGTCAAAAAAAAAAAGTATACACTTTTTCACGAGCCATAATATTATTATACCTTATTTTATTTTAAACAAAAATATATTATGGTATTAATTTTAGTTTATTTAAGCTCATATTTTTTTTTTAATTTAAAAATACTCCTCAACTACCAGGGTTATTTTCGTTTCTGGAGAAACACATAACATTTTATAATTTCCAAATAAGCTCATTTCATTAATCTAACAAGATATCTACTGACTACTAGCAAACGGTGTTTTGATAAACATATAACAGTCCACACAAGCTTAGTTTGTGATTTTATACAAATTATAAATTTAAATCGCGGAACACATAAAATTGATATGATTGGCACATGTGGCCTGGGGGCTATTGGTTGCAGGCCCCTGCACTAAAGCTCTATAAATAATGCTATTTTTACCACAACAAAATATGTAAAACTCAAATTAGTCAATTGTTGAGTTAGTATACACCAATGTACTCACAGTGCTATAAACCTCACAGTTTTTTCGCTTTTCAAGCTTTTCACAATTTTTAAGAAAAGTATTGCACATTACTTCTTTAAATTACTGTTATTTTGTCCAATTTTTCTAAACTGTAAAAAGGAGAATCTTAGGTGCAAATAATACGCCATTGGAAAAACAATAGCTCAATTTGGAATCTAAAATACCAGTAACACATTAAGTACATGATAATTAAATAAAAATAAATCTAATTAATTTGCTTATGAAAAACTAGTTGACTTTTCTTAACCTAGATAATTGAGTCTTTAACTTTAAATGATTCAGAAAATAATAATATGAACACATAAGACACGTATTTTTTAAATTACGAATATTATGATTAACATAAAATCAGTGGAATTTTGAAATTGCAAGATTTTAAATGAACTATATACTTAAATTTGATCACATTTACACATATGTCACATAGTACCTATATTATAGGGTAACGAATAACAACAATACATTATTATAATAAATTTATAATTAATGTTAATGAAATACCTATCTAGTCATTTTACTCACATAATGAATAAATTGTGATGTTATAAAATTTCTATAACTCTCACGTATCGTTTTGAGGACAATCATTATTGCGATCGACGAAATTGTAAACGTCTGAAATGTTGGGTAGGCACATGATTCGTCATACATATATGTAACTTCTTTACCCGTTTTGTTCATCAGTAATATTGAGTAATCTAATCATGTCTTCAAAATAATAGCATCACCAGTCTTAGTTAATTGGTATTGTAAATAGGGATTCCCCTTGGTTAGGATTCGCTAATTGCAACACCTCCGGAATAAACAAAAAGACATTCAAATTCTGTTTTTGTTTCTTCTAATTTACAAAACTAAATAATTTTAAAAACTATACACACTTATTGATAAAATGTATTTAATGAAAAATGTTATGGTCATTCTCATAATCCTAATGTAGTATCAAACCTATTCTGGACAAAAATTATCATAGACCGTAATTTCATCATTATTCTAGGTAAAAATTAAATTTAAAATAGAGACGTACCAGTAACGAAAATATGAAATCAACAAGAATAATTTAAACATTATATAAGTTATTAACTTTTAATTCAATACATTTTAATAAAAGTGACGTCTTATATTGATGACGAGAAATTAAACCACGATGAACACTTGCACATGGAAATAAAGTATTTAAATAAGTAGCCTGAAAATTTGTTTTCTTTCTTAAAAACCTCGTCAAATGTGACCATTGGTCCGACAGTGACTTCATTTAATACTTTGTTTTAGAATTATTACGGTATAAAATATAAACGTTTAAATTTGTTTACCGAAATTGTAGTACTTACACGTAAAATAAATTATACCTGCACCTAGTCTATTATATTCTTAAGCTACTAGTATTTATATGGTTAAACCCGTTTAAATAAAATCTACTATGGAAAAAATCTAAAGAAAATTGCTCAACCTCGTAGTTAATAAAAAGTATTAAATTCTGTTCGTTTTTGATTTTTAAATATAATTTATTATTATTATTATTATATTTGAAATATAAAATTTAATTATGATATTTTCATGTATCATATTCGATTTAACAGTGTAATAAGGAGGCCAGTGAAAAGTATTTCGTCAAGTTCCTATGAAAATAATTTAAATAAATTTCATAATGAAATAGTACCTTACTCACCATGTCACCATGTCATTATGTAGCCATCATGGTTATTTAAAAAAATAAAAAAATAACTATTCGACCAGAGTCATTTGTTGCCAAAATAATCCTTCCAAAGGGAAGTCATCCTTGTATTAGTATTATAATTATTAAACGTTGTTATTACAGGAGTGCGGGTGTGAGATTTTGATACTTCATTTTTCTGACTTATGTGTGAATTGTGAAAACCAAAAAAAAAATACACTATTTTGTCGTCACCGTTCGTTTTTTGGCTCCTCTTCTTGTAGCATCCTCTTGAGAATTTCGAAAAAAAGACATACCATGATCAGGGTTGGGGCATTTCCATATTATTTTTGATAAATTTTATTGTAAAATCAAGGTATTTTTATTTTTAAAATAAATCTGATTTGTGAATCTCAAACATCAAAGTGAAAATTTAATGCAAAAAACCTTTTCACGTTTTATAAATAGTTATAAAATATAAGTACTATCTTTTAGTTTTACATGCTTTTTACAAGGCTGGGCATTAAAAATTTAAAAAGTTAAATTACTTTTAACTAAGTTACTTAACTAAGGAGTTACTTTTTCACTTTTAACTTAACGAGTTATCTTTCTTACCTTATGCTTAATTAATATTATTGTCACGTTAAGTCAATTTTTCTCACGACCGTAGATTTAAAATATATTATATTTTGAAAAATTTTGTTTTATATATAAAAAAAATAAATTACTTTCGGAGTATCAAATATTATTTATAAATATGATAATTATTAAATAATAATTTACAATAATTTTAATATAATATATTATATACATGTTAGAAACAGAAAAGTTATAAGAATAATCGGGTCATTGATAAAAAAAAAAAACTATTTACTTAGTATCCCATACAAGTTTGTAAAATCATTAATTTTAATTAATGTAAATATAAACGAAAATGATTATTATTAATTATTATATTTGCATTCATTCATAGAATAATATTTAATATTCTATGTATTGGTAATTCGTTATATTCTAATAATTAATTTGGTAATAGTATAATTTAGTATAGTTGCGGAGAATAAGTTAAAAAATTCAGAAAAAATAATTACTTTGTTGGATTTAGTCATTGATTAGAGTATATAAGTACACACTACACATAAGTATAAAAGTACTTCAGCAATTATTTTTCATACATACATTTATTTAAAACCGTGTGACCTCTATCAAATTACTGTGGTATTTGTTAGCTTTAAAAAAGGTATAGTTTTTAATTTTATATAAAAAAAAAAGTACTTAACTGATTTTTAACTGTATCATGTTACTCATATTTTCTTGTTAACTTGTAACTTTTACAAGCTTCAAAAAAATAAAAGCAACTTAAAATTTTAAACCTAACTTATATTTTTATTTAATAACTTAACGAGTTGAATTGCCCAACCTTGGTTTTTTATTTGTTTTGCATTTTAATTAAAATTTAAGACTTAAAAAAAAAAATTAGATGGAGTTAAAATAATAACAAATTCACACTTTTTTCTTAAGGTGCTTATTACTTATAATAACTAGTCGCAAAATTCGTACGACACATTATTTATATTCAATAATTTAATTTTTACTTTTTCAAATGACAAATGTAATGTATTTCTTATTTCATGTCTACTACACAGTAAGTTGTAACGTCTCGTGTTTATGATTTTAATTTTCTTATCAATATTAAAAATAAAATAATTTGGCTAAAAAAAAATGTATCCAAGTATCAACCATTTTAATGGTTTTTAGGACTGGTACAATACACATATTAAACAATTAAAAAGATGTTTCCCGAACCCTGATCATAATACTTTTCGGCCCAAGGTCTTATAACCAGCCAGACACGTTTTGTCGTGTCTATTTCCCTCAACAGTGGCGTTTTCGGTCTTCCTGCTGTAGCCGTGGTAGTCGGTGTAGGCGGTGCAAAGGCGGCAAATATAAAAAATTAAACACAAATATACCATCGGACGACGATGATCCACCGGACTGGCTGTCCGGATCGGTTGATCGTGCTCAGTAGAAATAAATCAAACATTTCACGTCGCACCGTGATACATGCACCGGAGAAATATATCGGAAAGACGTTAGAGTTTTGACTGATGAAAAAAAAAAGCCTTAAAAGTTATGAATCGGCGTTGGATTTAATTTTTTTTCTTTTATACTAGGTCTTTGTCGTACTACTGAATAGACGTAAATAGAACATCGCGAGGTATAACATTATAGTTTATCGTCCACACAAAGCGAACGGAATCGTTCTGACGTGAGTACATAGAAATTAATTTACATGTGAACAATATTACAACAATTATTTATATTTCTCAACGGTGTCAATGTATTCAAGTACATGCGACGCGGCAGTTTGTAGTTTTGTCTGGTGAAACGCCATCGATAATATTATTATAATAATGTTGGTGCGACGAAAACATATTTCGATCGCCGCACAACATATATTATGTGTGCGATACTGTGTTTTGGCTTTTAATTATTGTTTTCTTATTTTTCTCGATTTCGTGAAATCTAACGATAATCGATTTTCCATACAAACGCAGGATCGCGTCATTATAATCATTATAGTATAATAAGCATACAATAATATTATATCGTTAAAAGGTCACGTATTCGGCGGGTATCCAATAACATTATGCGTACCACCGACGAACGAGGCATCTCCATTCTCCACCAATGTGTGGTTGGAGTCAACCGTTTGCGAATTTTACGACTTAAAGTTTAGGTAGGTAATCGTAATAGAGGCGTGTAAACTGGCATGCTCGTGTATACGACGACTTTTGACGATTTAGACGACTATCTACTCGACTTGACGAGTTGCCCGTGTGTCACACCATGCCACGATTAATAGTGAATATTATGCACAAGCTGGACATACGTCGTGTTCGATAAGCGATATTATTATTTTCAATACTGGCCAAACTGGTGAAAAATCTATGTCATTGTATTGTGCGGTTGTTGCACACATTATTATACTATTTAAATTTAAATCGATTGCATGGGCTTATAATCAAGACGAGTCTACATTTTAGTTCTCGGCAATTTAATATTAAAATATAACGGTACGCCGTGGTGGGTTGTGCAGTCGAGTTCGACGCACGCTGTTTAAACGTAAGAGAAAGTCCAACTATTTTGGAGCCTTTTTCCGAGAAGTCGACGATATTTCAAATAATTATTAAGAGAAAATCGCGCGTCCAGACACATTCGTCCGACGCTAAAATGCGTAAAATGCTTGAAAATCGATTGGATCACCTAAATCGAGCACACTGTACAGGTAAGTAAAATTAGTGATTTATTAAGTATGCGTTTTATATGTAGCCAGTGTTGAATGAATCACTAATTACGTGTATGTAAAACATAATTGTATTAAACTTAATGTATTTAACTCTCATTCAAGACAATTAGTATAATTATGATTGTAATCGTCATCGACACTGGTCCTCGCGTGTAGAAATGCACACTGGTCACGAGATTATATTAAAATACTTAAATTTAAATTGTCCCTGGATACTTGTGACTAAAAGAATTCTTATATTAAACATTATTGTACCTTGAAAATGACTCGACGAGAGTGTAGGGAAAAAATAACTTCTTACCCATTGTAGCATGTTCATGCGCTTATCGCACACTATCAACTCCAGCGGTTTGTCTTGGTCCATCTCGAAGTGTGCGCCCTTCAATAATCCACGTCTGTTTTTTTTCATAGCTGTACTCAAAGCGGCGATCAATGGCGGCCTGTAAAGACAATAAAATATAATAATATTATAATGATACGTTGCCTGCAATATGGTTTTACTGCCAATAGTAATAATTCTATTGTTATTATTAGAACCACTGCGAGCGGTAATGACGTGTTTGCTTGTCGGGTAAGTGTATAAAATCATGTACAAATCGTACCGACTATAATTATTCCTACTCACTGCTCAATGTTGCAAATTATTTGAGCATTGATATTCAAATTATTTGTCGAATATAGCTATAAGTTATTAGTTAACGAATAATAAATTATAAAGTGTAACAACTAACAAACAAATACTAATAGTATTACTTAAGTACTCCTACCTAGCACCTGTTAAGTGAATAATTTAAATTTACTTGTAATACTTGAGCTACTCAGACAACTTAACTGATTCAAAAATAAGGAAAGGTATGATAACAAATAAGCATACATTATAATAACTTTAAAAAAATAGTATTTAAAATTTGGCTCAAATATACTTATGTAATGAAAAATTTTAATAATATATCATATTATATTCAATTTATATTTGTTTCTGCTACACCACACCTGAGAGCTTGACGTACTAACTGATAATAATTATAATTCACTTCCAATTCGTTATGTCAACTTCGATTTTAAATGACCCAATAAACACACCGTATATAGTTTTGACTGGACGTAATTCACTATTTTTTTTCATCATTTCAATTATTTGACAAAACAACGATTCCTAGTTCTCTTTTTGTTACACTTAAATTAATTTAAGTCTTGTTTGAATTTTTACAGAACGTACCAAAAAATCTGGGAGTTTTGAGGGAGGATCGCGTACCTGATTGTCATTAGTAAGATTATTTGGATAATTAAACTATTATAAATACGAGATTTCGAATGGGTTACTGTAATTCAATGGCGTATATTTAAGTAGTAAATACCTATATATATTCTTGACACTACACAAATCACGTTAAATGATTGTATGTTGCCTATACAATAAACCTTGTACTCACGATAGTATATTTAAAAAAAAAAATTTAAAACACGAACAATGTGGTTGTCATAAAAGTGTTGTATATTACTCTTATCATAATACATTTTAAAAACGGTATGATAAATCATGGTTAGTGGTTTAACGATCTCTTCCTACGATATTAATTGATTGGCGTAATAATAAGAATATAATACGATGGCCGTCACATTAAACGTTTTGCCGTGTTTCATATTTTTGTTTTTATTTTTCGGGAATATAATATTTTGAAAACTTCCTTCAAAATGTCTAAAGCACAGTAATTATTCCCAGATTTATAAATAGAATCCATCATTATTGATTTCTATAAAAACGCAGCACGAACCTTGTCCAACATTCGTGCATTCTCAAAACGAGGTTACCGAAAACGAAAGATGAGGAGAATATAATGATGAGCCCCTATAACGTGACCGACGTGCTTATCAAAAACCACATCATAGTATGATGATACATTTTCTACGACGACATTATTATACTGAAGAATCATTTTTATATAGAACTAGATTGGTCGATTTCGGCGTCACGATTAGTTCCTACTGCTACTGCGGTTTGGTATCCAAACGTGTTTTTATAACTTTTCAAGATTATCGAAAACGTATCAATTGTTTTCGTTTTGTAATAATTAAAATGTGTGTTGTGAATATTATGTAAACAAAAATACAAAAAAGCACCTTCCAGTATGTTTATAGCCTTTTTCATTTAGTCGTCATCGATGCACGCATTATCGTCGTATAATAATAAATATGATAATAATTTAGTTCTCAAATTGAGGGAGCCGCAAGAGGACAGAGTACTACTTTAAAAATAAACTATTTTGAAGTACCTCTTCTAATTATATCATAATCAAAAATTAAAAATTTGGGTAGGCAAATTTTTTTTTATCGTTGTGTACCACCCTACTATATTCTCCCAATTCAAGCACTTTGGATACCAAATACCAATGCCATTATATACAACCGTAGTATAATATATCTATTGTATAGTAGTCGTTTGAGCATATTTGAGCTTATTATGATGTCTCTATATGAACATTTGTCATGAAATCACGTTGCAGGTACCTGCCTATAACATGATTTATGTTTGTGGGCCAAGGGGTTTCAAATCTACCAGGACGATCGGTTTCGATAAGTTAAGCTTTTCGAACCGTCTCATCAAGCTAACTTATGTTTTGACCCTGAACTCCAAGATCCTGTGCCAATGTGTGTATCTGATTTGTTATTGTGAAAAACTCGGTCAAATTCAACAATAATAATATAATTACTATGTTTATCTTTCGTACGATATAATGCTGTGAAACGATATAATAAGTTAATTGTTTGGACATTCTCGGTAGACTAAAAAAAAAAAATAAGCCTATGCCAGAAAAACTGAAAACGTCGAAGTAGGCCTTCACCTTGGCGACTCGACGGTTATGGTTTAAATCACAATAATAACACAGCGACACTGGCTTGTTGGTCGGTTGAGCGGAGCGAGACGAGTGCCCGCAACGACAATCGTGCCGCCTAGGCCCAGTGCAGCAAGTCTCTGCATATTATTATATCGTTTTGGTGTCATTATAATAATAAAATATAATGTGTCTCGTTTACTTATTTAACATTCGACGTTACTTTCTACTCTGTCCCACATAATATTAATCCCGCGACGGTATGACCATAATAATAATATATAATAATATTATAATATTATAGTGTTATACCGACTCGATATAGGCACGAGATCGTTATTGTTGAGCCGTCAGTCTGTTGTCTGTTTTCATTGTGTACATGTACGATTTTTGAATGAGCGTGTAATATTGTGCAGATCATAAATTTAGACGTAAAATCTTACTATTGCTCGCTTTAATTATTTGTTGCTGTTTGCTGTGCCAGAGAATTCATACTTTAAAATCATTTTTACTAGGGACGGGTCTCCCGAAGTGGAACGAGGGGGTGGCATTGTCTCCCTCTAGAAAGGTTTTTAGTTATGTTTTCCCAAAAACGTATTTTATATTTGTATTACCACTAGCTGATACACTTTGTTGCCCGTTAAAAATGCCAACTCAATATAAGACTCCGCTTGTGATAATGCGAACAGTATATTATCGAGTAGGCAATCCTGCACCTGCAGTGGATTGATGACCCCGATATAGGTGTGATGTATGAATAATATGTTTTTTTTTTTTTATCGAAGACACGGTGATGAGCGGCTATAAGTAGGTGCAACTCGCCACCTTGGTACCTAACCTAACCTTGGTAGGCAGTATGTTTTAGATCTACCTATATATTATTATGCAATTGTAACCTAATATTAATGTTAAAGAGTGTTCTTGATAAAAAAAAATGGCCATTTAGTTTTTAAATGATCACTGCACCCTCCATCCCATAGAAAAATGTCTGAGAACGCCCTCATTGGCTTATATTATAAGATTATAAAGCCGCATACCTATAAAAATTAAAATACGCAACGTCAGTTCTGACGTTTTTCCTCGTCAAGAGAGACTGATGAATATTAATTGCTCAGGCAGTATCTTATATGTTTTTATAAGCACAACAATGTGAACACACGTGGTTATACTTACGGTTTTAATCCACCCTCATCATTGAAGTTTAGGATTATGCTCAATTTAGTCATTTTCGTGCAGTTTATCGAATTCTTTTGGTAATAGCAATTCGGCATTCCGCCGCACGGCCATAAATCATTTACGGATATCGAGAAGACTGTTTTGGAGACGCCATTGTTGCTAACACTGCCTGTTAAATCTTGGCAAGTATATGACACGATCTAAACAATATAATATATGCAAACAAAACAAGCGTTGATTATACATGGCATGCGGTGAAGTATAGGATTTGACGACATTTCAAAGGTACAGTAAGAATAAGGTAGGTCCATCGAAAAAACTGTTTTCATTATCCTACAGAAACTGTCCTCCAAGCGCATTTATATTTGTATGATTGTTATGTTTTAAAACTTATTAAAAATATTTACTGTTAATAATTATATTATTATAGTTATATACTATTGTTTTTATTGAAAAAATAAAAAAGTATATTGACGTAAAATAATTTTTTTAACTAATTAGTCCCACAGAGGGGACAACCGTCAAATAAATTGATTTACATGGTCAGTTTAAAAAAACCGTTAATCGCCAATTCGAAGTTTGATATAATTATAATAATAAAATAATATTATTATGAAATGTCGTACAAGAATCAATCATTTTAAATTTTAATGACTTGGTGTTAAAGTAATAAGGTACTAGTACTTAGCATATACATGATAGGTATATGGTGCGTATAATTGGTGTTGTACAATCGACATGTGTTTTTTCCTAAAATTTTTTATTAGGCTATCTGTTATATCATTTTGAACAATGATAAGCTAATTTGATGTTAATAAATAAAATAAAACAATGACATGGAAAACAGAGTAGAGAAGCCTTGCAGTGGAGGTACTTCTACGTGAAATATAATGTCCACATGTCAGAGGCATATAATATGACATATTTATTATTACTATTGTTGTTGTCGGCACGTGAATATTGTTTTAGTCAAATTGCATCACATCGGTGCATAACGCTGAGCGTGGTCGCTTTCTTTCAGGGAAACGCGTTTCAAAACGAAATAGAGAAACACTTCGAAAATACGAGTTAGGACTCGTTGAGTAATAATCGGTAGAACGCCGAGGTATAGGTATAGGAAGACTATACACGGTTTATACCGTACACGGTTCGTGGGGATATCGAACTAAACTTGAAAATCGAAACGGTTAGAGTATGTTGTAGTAAATGGTTAAAATATATTTTTATGATGATACTTTTGTATATTTCTAACAAAATAGTGAAATTATTATACTATAATATAATATTATACCTTGTGTATTATGTTGGTGGTCTTTGATGATTTTTTTTTCTGTATGGTGTTTTTTCTGGCATGAACTTTTTTACGGGGTATATTTTTCTTGTTATAAGTTATACCTTAATTATTCATTAATATATATATATACATATACATACACCATGTACTTTTAATAATTATGAACTAATTTTGCTACATTGATTATTTTGATTATTTCAAATTTATTGTTCCTTCTTAATTTTACGAAATTTTGTGCAATTTATTTTTAAAGAAGGGTACGAAAATTCTCAACACAAGTCTTGGCTTAGTTAAAATAGAAAATTCTGAGAACACGGAAAATCAGTATTAGTTGCAGTTATTATCTCTTGTAATTCTCATAATTGCATTTTAAGGCACTTTTTGACTTTTGACAGCATTGAGCCAAACGTTTATCGCAAGCAATAAAAATAAAAACCAACTTAATTTCATACCTTCATCATAACTATTATCAGGAAGAAAATCAAACATATCATTTTGTATTGAAACCGTTTGGAGACCACACTGTTTCTTTTTCTCTTTCTCTTTTTCTCAACAAAGTCCATTTTGGATGACTGAAAAAAAAAACATTATTTTCATAAATATATATTAATTATTGATCATTTTTTCTTATTTAGAAAACATAATTTTCAAAGTATTATGATATTACCAAAATCAAACGAATGACAAATAATACTATGTTTAAAACGTTCAGCACACTATAATGAATTTATGATGAATTATTATGATGACGCTGTGCGTACCTATTGGTTATACAATAATAATATACATCTGATATCTAAATCAATACCAATTAATAATACAACAATAAAAGTAATGTAATAATAATAAACTATCATGATGTCGCGTTGTTTCGCAGCCAAACGATCTGTTTAGCGTCGGTGTGCGGGCGGCGACCGTGGACGAGACAATCGATGCCATAACGATTTAGGACTTTGAACTTGAACCGGGGTTTCCCGTGTACGCCTGACACGGATAATATATAATATCGTATTATATATATCGCGGGTACTTTCACGGCCGACTTTCTTCAGGCGTCGACGACCGGGCGGGAGAACGTTTTCTCCGTAACGTCGTTTACGTAAACGAGTGTGTGTGTGTGTGTGTGTGTGTGTGAGAGAGAGAGAGAGAGAGAGAGAAATTATTGAAGAAAAAAAACCGTCTGCGGCGGGGCGGCGGTGAGTACCGGCAATATAATAATCTGTAATATTATGCGAACGAACGTGGCAAACTCGGGTCGACGACCCGGTAGTAGATATCTAGTCCGCGAAATCCTCGATGATGACGACGAGCGAATAGTGTCCCTCCGCGATCCGTACGCCCGCGTTACCACAGTGATAATTATTATATTCATTGATGACGGAGATGACGATGACGACGATGATCATCGATTGATTGATTCATGATGATGATGATGATGATGATGATGATGATGATGATGATGATGATGATGATACACAAGAGTAATAATGATGTGATTATAATGATGATAATAATATTATTATAAATACGCATGTATACATGTATTATGCTAATGTGCGATATGTGTGACGATAGAGTGCTATGGAATTATGTTATCATCTGTACGAGAGACCATAATATAATAAGCGTTTCCTATTTAAAATAACCGATGCACATGCGATTTATTACACGACTTCGCGGTCACTTTATAATAATATAATATTATACGACGATGATAATACACAGGTAATTCCGTATACGGACCGAGCGAACGGCGATTATTATTTTCGTTTGGCACGTATCTACCCCCACACCGTTGGGCATATCATTTCGTAGAGAATACTGCATTCGAGTCTCGATCACTCGAAAACCTCGATATAACTTGAATTTTTTATTGTCCCCTTAAGCTTGTTTTCAAGTTGAGTTTGAGGTGCAAACAAGTTTCTGATACACAAGTCGAATTTATACTTTTGTTCCCCTTGAAATTCGAGTTATCGAGACTCGACTGAAATAACATTTATTTCGATTATTTTACGTGAAAACTGACGGGGCGTCATCTCGAATATTGCGGGAGATCAACCCCAGACGATCTTCAACAATAATCGGGGGTTGCATATCAATCAAAACCTATTAGGATTACTAGTTATTTCGGGTGATAGACGTATTTGGATGCTGTTCAAACACTGGAATAAAACATTTTAAAAAAAAAGGTTGATTGTTAATTATGCTAGGCAATATTTGGGTTAAAATATTATGAATTTGGATATATGTTCGCTGGGTTAAAATCCGAGAAAAATAGAAAAAGTCATCAGGTACGTGACGTAAATTTTTTACATCACATAAGGAAGGAATTATTTAGGTATCATCAAAATAACTTAGTACCCACACTACTTGATAATATATGTGCCTATATAATTGCATTTAATGATTAATAACTATTTAATAATATTATTCATCTAAATAATTGTTATTTTTTCAAATTGTTATACACATTTGTAAAATAAAAAAAATGTCCTGGTTTATTCGGGTTAACCGAGAAATGTTTTATTCAAATTTCGGATAACTTGGGGGTTTTTAGAAAAAATAATCGTTCTGGTTATATCACGGGTTTTGTCATGGGTTTTTAGGCGTGTTTCGGGTTCAGGGCGATTCTGATGCAAAACCCTAACATATATTATGACTCGATTTTTGCAATTGTGCGCGAATTATAATAGGAATGCAGTCTTCGTCGAGTCGAACTCGAAAAAAAAATTAAATTACCCAATTTATTTTTCACATCGATTTTGTTCAGTTTGGAGGTGAATACCTAATGACGGTTAATAATTGTAATTGAACCTTTTAAATATAGGTTCGAAGCGCCGTTTACCGTTGATCCCATATGATTATAATATTTAATATACCGATTAAAGACGTCTTGTCATAACCTACACAATAACTATGTTGAAATATTATTATATTATACCGCTCGATAACGATCACAGTTGGCAGTGAAATTATGTCAAAATGATTTGAAAATCGATTCAGAACCACGCGACGGCAAGACGAGTAACAACCTGTAACCTGCTCCGGTCCACGACGGATGCGCCGACGTCATAACCGGCACATTGCACGTTTAGGGGGACATCGAGACGGTGTCGTCTCGTATACCGTATGCAAATACGTGTAGGTATACATATTATTATTATTATTATTGTAATGCGACGACGGAAACAATACAAACATTGTCGTTTCCGTCCGGTCGAAAACGGTCCCGTAGAAGATGATATGTAACATAATAATAATAATATATAATATCTGCACATAACATTATATACATTGTTATAGTACCTACGCGAACCGTGCACGATGACGTGGCTCGCGTATTGTGTTCCGGTTGTGCGTATTTTTTTCCGCTTCTCCACCTCCTCCTTCTGCTCGTCTATTCCTCGTCGCTCATTGACTCATATTCCTTCTCCTTCTCCTTCTTCTTTTTCTCCTTCTCATTCTCCTCCTTCTTCTTCTCTTACTCCTCCATTTCGTACATCTCCTACTCCTCGCGAGTTCGTCTTCCACCACCGCCCTGGGTACTCGGCTTCTCTCCCCCCGAAACGGGGTCAAACGCGGATCGGATCGGTTGCGGACCGCCGCCCGAGAGAAAGACGGTCAACGACCTTAACCGGGATATGTGACGCGAACGGCGGCGAGTTCACGAAACGCTATTATTAGGTGTGTGTGTGTGTGTGTGTGTGTGTGTGCGTACAGGCCGACGAGTATCGTAATACTTTCACCGGAGTAGGTGAAATTTCTTATATTATTCTATTTTTTTGCCGACGACGATTTTTTTGAAATCTTTATTTTCTTAGGAACTCGCGAGCGTTACACTTTTGCGTCCCCGCCGCCACCGTCGGCCGTAGGTTCGATGACGACACCAAAAAATCGTAAAATTTTCGACGGCACCGTGCACTACACGAGAGATCGTGAGTTGTACCACCCTACTCGTACATAATACGTCATAACGGGCGAAAACCCGTTCGTCGCGGACTAGTAAATGTAAAATAATAATTACAATATTGTAATGTATTATTACAGTGATAAATATTATACTGCCGACGTCGTACGATTCGCTTCCTGCTAGTAGTCGAGGTTTTTTTTTTTAAATTTTGGGTTTGGTTGCATACCAGTATTTTTTTCCTCGTCGTCGAATATGTATAAGTAGGTACTTACATCAGCCAAGTAGTATTTTAAGTGTAATGCCAACGACATCGAAGAGCCAAAGAGTAAATATTCAAAAATGTTTAGGTTCTCGAAAACTTATAACGACCCGAATGCCGTTTCTGCCTGCTGTGGGTTAGGTCAATTTTGGTGGTCAATTTTAACGAAACGATTAAGACATAATAATGATGTGGCAACTATAATTAAAAACATTTTCAAAGTTACATTACATTATATTATATTATATGGGTACCTATGATAGTCATTAGTCAGTTTAGGTACCGTTATTGGTATATTAGGTATATTATATAGGTTATTAAATGTTGAGCAACCGCGAAATTATGTATGGGAAAAATATTGCTTCACACCAAGTGTTTACACGATTTAATAATATCGAATACTCACCCATATAATATATTACAACTGGATAGCTTCAGAGTCGGCCAACGTGAAAATAGTATAGTTATTACAATCCGATAAAATAATAACTTGACCTGCAGTCGAGGTATACAAACTATATGATAATTCAATAATAACTATAATGTTATATTAAATAACAACTCATACCGCGGTATAATAACTTTTCCACGGCGAAGTGAACTGGCAGAATTTCTCCCCTCTGCGCGCTAATTATAATGCATATACATCATTGACTACCTGTTAGAAGACATTACGCAAATAATAATAACATATACCTGCTAACACACATAACAAATCGCCCCGAAGACGACGGCGACGATCTTAATATTCCATTTATAAACTACTATAACGAGCCATCGGTCAATGTACCTAATGTCCTAATCATTATTAGGTACATGTAGGACTGGGGTTTGATGCAATGTCATTTTTTTTTCTGTTGTCTGAAAACATAATTTATAGTTACGTGTACTTACTAACACTGATTATTTTAATGTAATTTTCACTCCGCATTTTTCAAGACATTTTTAATTTCTTCTAAAAATATTAAAAATATTTTAATGTAGAAAGATACATTGTGTCAACATTTTGTTGGTCGAACGTGAGTTAAATAATAACAGTTATTTTTAATTATACTGCACAACACGTTTCCCGAGTAAACTCATTCATGGATTATACTTTGCCCGGTAGTTAAACCTGATCAACAGCAAGACCAATCTATTTAATTGAAATATTAGTATTGTGTACCTATTTTATTTATGACATTACTATGTAGCCATAATATATAGGTATACTATACCGATTTATATATACATAGGTACATATTATGATAATCCGAATAATCACTTCGGTGTTCCGAATCATAATGCTCTTAGAGGATTAAAAAAAATAACGTCGTGGTACAGTTTTTCACGGATAGACATGTTTTTGACTTTGTTTTTTTTTTGACGTCAGCTGGAACATTATACATTTTAGTAGAGGTATC